GAGGTTATGGCATTATAAATTAGCACAGTATCGTCTTTGTGTACAGTTTCAATTACAGATTTCTCTTTCACATTCACTTTTAAAAATCAAGATCCTCCTGTGCTTCTTTGCCACGCTAAAGACTCAGAAATGAAGCTACTGTATTTGCTGTAAATTGTGTTGTCTGTATGGCTCTTTGGAGGTTAAAAAACAATGTCAGAAATTACTGGCACTTTCAGCCCTCACAATCCTACACTTTGCTGCATGGACTGTTGGGCAATATTTCGCTGTGAGGTCCACACCAGTGTGGGTGCATAATAGACACAAAGGGGGCGCTCTTGAGCATCCTTTAAAACCTACAGTACAATGGCAAACAAGACACCGTGATATGTGTGTTGCAGCAGGGTTGGAACAAAACTCTGCAGGGCTCCGGCCCTCCAGGAATTGAGTTTGACACCCCTGCCTTATGGTCTCATGGACTTGACAGATTGTTAAAGTAATATATGCACAAACCTAAAGAGAATTATTTTGGATTTAATTGAATTCTATTTATTTTTATAGCACGTATGACAAAAAATATTCTTCCAAAGCAGCTTTACAGAGAATTTTACCAGTGAGCAAGATGACAGTGTTGAGAAGCTCCATAGAAAGATACTAGACAGACTACTCTTAAAAAGTGTGTATGGAAGAAGATATGAACCTATTTAAAATTACCAGTACATATTTTATAAAGGTTAATGATTTTTTTTTACTAAATATAAAAAAAATTATGTACTGACATTTGGTAAAGACATTTGGTCTCCAATCCCAAATAGCTGCAAAATTGTTCATATTTAAAAAAAAAAATCTGAATTATATATAATGTGATTTAAATGATATTGTTTGTTCCTTAAATTCAACAAGCCATCAGTTTTTCTCTGCTCACAGAGAGAATCCCTTCTGTTACACTCTTTCACAATGTCCTTTTGGCTACAAAAAGCTTTTCCAGAATTTCCCCAACTCTTTCTTTCTTTTATTTCTCTCTCTCGTCTTGCAATCAGAACCAGAGGAAGTGCTTTCTTAGTAGGTCCATTGAGATTTGAGATGATGTCAGTCGTCATGCTTCCTTTTTATTGGAAATGCTATAGTTTATCCTTCCACTGCTTGACTAATCATTGAGACACTTCGCATGAATTCAGGAGGGGCATAGATGAAGGAATGAGAGAAAGAGAGAGAAAGAAAAAATGACACACGTAAGCACATGCTCTCAACTAAATCTCAATGCGCATCAGGGAAACAGACACACAGCTGTTACCAAGCACACCACATCAGACAGCTCACACACATGCGCACAGTGCTCAGCCATGACATTAACACCCTCAAACGACCAGAAGACATGATTTGATATTTGTGATCTGCAGTAACCTCAAATGACACATATGCAAACACAGTTTGTGGCCGCAAAACCCAACCTCTCGGCATGCTGATACTTTTTCTTATAACACCACACCTACGCTTGTCCTTAAGTGATGCAAGTCAAGTTCACACACAAACAAGGATATGCTAGTTGTGACGAGAAATGATCATTAAAAGTTTTATGCCAAAAGAAAAAAGTACTTGCACCTAGGAAATTAATTTACAAATATATTAAAATTATGCTCATTTACATGAAATTTTTTTCTACATAAGGCAGGTCGCCCACTCATGGTGGCTGCCATGTTGAGATCACATGACCGGCAAAATACATATCCATCTTTTCGGGAAATGTAACTGCATGGTTAATGCACATTATTTCATTTATTTATTATTTTTGTTTGTTTGTTTGTTTGTTTGTTTGTTTGTGGATGTGTAATGGCAGCTTATTAGATGAGATCTGTCCCCTTTTGTCTGTAATTGGATGACCTCATGGTATGTGGGCAACTGCAGCATGGCCATATGTCCGCATCTTTCCTGGACCAATGCCTCCTTTTTCCGAATCTGCTAGGGCCGTCGGAGTTTGTGCGTCTCTCTGTTGTGCATGTCTCGAAGGAAGAGAATGGGGAAAAACCCTTCTTACGCACATGTGGTCAGACACCTCACTGGTCCTGTCAAACATGATTTGCCTCATAATGACAGATTTCAGACCCAAGACTTGTGTGCACATCACCTTTTCAGAGTGGTGTATGGATAGAAATGAGAGGTGGCAGAAATGTGAATTAAATTCAAAATACACATAAACTTTACACCATAACTCTACTTTGCAATAACAAATAAAGTTAACTAAACCTTAATTGTTACCGTAATGTTTAAATTAAGTCAAAAGGGTGACAAATTTGCAGTAAAATCCATTGCACTTCTATCTATCTGTCTATCTATCTATCTATCTATCTATCTATCATTCTATCGTTTTATCTATCATTCTATCTATCTATCGTTCTGTCTATCATTATATATATCCATCACTTGATATATAATAGTATTATTTACAGCTGCTTTTGTATTGTTTATGTCTTTATTTTTCTATTGAACATAATTCAGTAATAGTTTAGATTAATTTAGATTAGATTGTTTAAACTAATTCAAGTATTTCATGTAAATATTCTCTAAAGCTAAAACTGGATTTAACTTTGGGACCTGAGTCTTGTCTAGAGACAGGAATGTTAGAGACTTGAGGGTGGTCTTTTGACTTGGGTCAGTAAGCAACCACCTAGCGACCACCCAGAACACCCTAGCAACCAGATACCAATGCACTACAAACCACTCAGAACACACCTCAGCAACTGCATACCAATGCTCTGGCACCCACACGCACACCCTAGCATCATGGCAGTTTTTCATGGGCATGCACTATTCACATTTCCTTCAGAAATATAAAAATGTGGTTATGCTTAGCTGCTCTCTTTTAGGTATAAAACTGGTTTTGTTTAGTTTTGTGAAAATGTAAATCTTGTTAAAAATCCAGTTTCCAACTTTTCGACATTGCCTTGGTGTTGTAGTCTACAGGTACCTCTCCATACGCTAAAAAAAATAGTAAAAAAGAATTACCCACACCAAAGAGCTTTTTCTCCCGGTGTTCAGAGAACAAATATGCTTGTGTGGCTTTGAGTGTGTGGAGATTAGAGAGAAGTATCATTCGACAGGGCCCTGCTAAAGTTCTACTGCTGTGTTGTTCTGCAACTAGGAGACCCACCACAGCAAAGTCAGAGGCGCACAAGGGCTCGTCTGTGTCCCAAAGCCACAGGGCACCGATTCACCAAACTCCCCTCTACTGTAAACACATCTATGCTTTAACAAGACCCACACACACAGCTTACGCCTATGCTTCATACATTTCTGTGGTGTGCGAGGAATGATGCAGACCCGTTTACGTACACCTTGACATTAATTTAAGCGCATGATAAAACGTGATGCTGTGTCATTTGTGTGTGTATGTAAATGTGCTTTTTGTTGCTTTCGTTTCTTTTGTTGGGTTGAACAGTATAGCCTTTTCAGCCTTTTGACACTATTTAATTTATCTCATAATATTTAAAAGGTATTTTTTCCAAGTAGATTTAAAATGTTTAATATAAAAGCAAAATATTGTAAAAATGTAATTAAAAATTAAAAAAAATTATACAAAGAAGAATATTTCTTTCTTTCTTTTTCTTTTTTTAATATATTTTTTATATGCACCAATATAACAACAAACAGCAATATTTCCCAAACACACTAGCGTTCAAAAGTTTGGGGTCGGTAAGAATTTTTAAGTTTTAGAAAGAAGTTTCTTCTGCTGACCAAATCTACATTTGCTTGATCAGAAATGTAGAAAAACAGTAATTTTGTGAAATATTAATAAAATGTAATAGCTCTATTTTAATATATTTTGAAATATAATTAATTCTTATGATGTCAAAGCTGAACTTTCAGCAAGTGGCATTTCAAGTAACATTTCTTATTATTATCAATGTTGAAAACAGCTATGCAGCTTAATTTTATTTATTCTTTTTTATTCTTTTTTTTTTTAGGAATCTTTGATTCTAAAAAAAAAAATCTTTGATTCTTCTTAGAATTTATTTGAAATAGAAGTTTTTAAAAGTCTTTACTGTCAGTTTTGATCAATTTAATGCATCCTTGCTGAATAAAAAAATATTAATTTCTTTTAAAACAAATTCTACTGACCCCAAACCTTTAAACGGTATCGCAAGTTTTATTTATTATTTTGCAAAATGCAAAAATGCCATGCAGGGCAAAAGTGAGCATTTTTGAGTGATGCAAATGAATCTGATTCACAGAAATTAATCAAATTTACTAAAGTTTGAAATAAACATGTTAATAAAATTTCTTCCAGAAAATGCCATTTAGGAAACCTAATGGTCTCCTAAGTAAAAAATAAAAATTAGAATAAATGAAATCATTAAGATGCAGCTTAATTGTATATTTCCATTGAAATCACTGTGAATATACAGTGAATATTTGTGTCTTAAAATGTGCATGTAGTTTTAATTTAAACATAAATTTTTGCAAGAAAGTGTGTGTGTGTGTGTGTGTGTGTGTACAGGTTCATACAGCGAGCTTTGCAAAGTAACACCCTTTGTCTCCTCTCTATTGACATCAGAGCCTACAAAAGCCAGAAATTATAAAAAGGGGAAGGGACGAGAGAGAGAGAGAGAGAGAGAGAGAGAGAGAGATGCCAAATGGGGCAGTGAAATGAGGAAGCACAGAGCCAAGAGGCTGCATCACCCCACCACAGCCAACTCTCAGACATGAGTGAGAGTGGCACGCAAAGAGAGGGCGACACCGAGAGAGGCAGGAGGGGGTGAGAGTAAGGGGCACGAAGCCAAAGAGACAGTATCACCTAGTCACAAGGACCAGGCCAATGAGAGGGAGCGAGCAGGGGGGGGAAATCTCTCAAAGCTAGCGCTCAGAAGAACCCACTCTCACTCTCTCATACAGTCTGGGAGTGTGTGTGCGTATGTGTGTGTGTGTGTGCGAGCCCAGGATGAAGGATCGTCTGGCGGGCTGTGCTGGAGTGGCCGTGCAGCAGGATTTTCACGGTGCCCCCCTTTCTGTGTGTCTCTGTCCAGACGAGTCCTACCAGAAGCTGGCCGTGGAGACCATGGAGGAGCTGGACTGGTGTCTGGATCAGCTGGAAACCATCCAAACGTACCGCTCCGTCAGCGACATGGCCTCCAACAAGGTGAGAAGATGCACTTTTAAGAGCTTCTTTGGAAGTTGTAAAAACTCTCAGAGGATGCTTGAGCAGTAAAGCGCGTTCAAGATCTTTTTCCTGATAGTTTAGAGAGTTTGTAATGCTTCTCTCAACGGCCGCTTTGTGAATGGGGCTATTGAGAGTCAGTGCTTGTGCCAGTTAGTTTGCATTCAAAATTCAAGCTGCTGTTTTCTAGTTTGCTTTTGAAATCTATTTGAATATGCAGAATATACACTAGATTTGAAATTTTAAGGTTTATTTTGATTTAGTTGTGGTGCATTTTCCAAGGTATTTGAAGTACAAGGCTCCCTTAGAGATGCCACATCACTTTATTATCATAACAGTCTCACACATTCTCTGTATAAATATGTTAGCAAGTCTTCCTAGCTTTTTGAACAGGTTATAGCATGTCTTTTTTCCAGCACGTTTTTCCACACCCCTTTGTGTTGCTTTGGAAATGTGGTACACTGCGGTGTGCTCTGAAATTGATTTGATTGACAGCTTGTGGGCCAATTTATATTAACAGCGAGGTTTATCAAGTTAAATGTTAACTTTTTATTAGGAGATCTATTTTTTTCTTATTGTTTCTAGACTTGAATACATGTACAGCACTTTATTGCATAATCAAAGCAATATGATATACAATATAATTAATTTTTTGAAACACAAATAGCCTATTTTCTCATGAAACATCTGTTAATATGACAAGCACAATATTTGTTACAGATTCATATGTACATGTTTCAACCTATTTTGTTTATCATCCTTTTTTACTTTTAAGCACTGTGTTGTTTTCACATCTTTGTCAGTGTCATCTCATGTGATACACTGCACAGCTCCACAGTGTGTGTGTGTGTGTGTGTTTGTGTGTGTGTGTGTGTGTGTATGTCCTGCAGCTGTGACTCAGGTTTCCTGTCTCCTTCCTAAGCTCTAGCCGGGTCCAGACTACAATAGGAGTGAGTGCTGTATGGCAGGGCAAGGCCGCACTCCCTGTTTGTTTCTCCTTCTGCTGACGTCAAACAGGCATACACTGCAGCATGGGGACTTTTACTGCAGACAATAGGGATGAATACACACTAACTCCCGCACACACACCAATCCTACAGATACATGTACAGGAAAGCGCCGTATTTTGGGATGACCCAGAATTCTCACTGTTAATAATTTTTTTAATCATTCATTTTGGCGCGTTTTCCAGTAAAAGTATAAACATCGTTAAAACATGAGCATTTTACTTTTCATGGAAATATGCATGTTAATACTTTTTATTAAGAAGATTATTATTAAGATGATTTTGATAGGTTTTTTTTTTCTTTTCTTTTTTTTAGGGAATATGTATTTATTTATTTTTGCATAAACCTCACTATATTTTGTTAGACTTTAAGTATTTTAAATAAGATTACTAATGGGGTAAGAAAGGTTTCTCAAAAACTTTTGTGCACAAATTTGCATCTAAAGTAAAATTATCAGTCTAAGGATGTATAAAAAATTTTACTGGAAAATGACAAAAATACTCTTTTTTTTTTTTCAGTGCACGCAGGCCAACAATGATATGCAAGAATATACAATATAATGCATATGCAAGAAAATGGGACATTAACAAAGCCTGTGACTGTGTCATGACTGGCTCAAGACATGCTCATATCCTAGGAGCTTTTGTATGAGTTTGTGGAACTAGCACATAAAGATGTACAGAGAATACCAGGACATCTGACCTTTTGCGGCCCTTTTGAATGCCTGTGCCCTCTGATGTGTATTACACTTTAGCTGTATGTGCATATGTGTGCATGTAAAATCTATAGTGTCAACTCCAGGATTTATCTGCCAACATGCAATATATATGTTGGCAGAGAAATCCTGGAGCTGATACTGTATAGATTTTACATGCACACATATTCTGTTTCAGTCAACTGGACATTCCGGTCAAGATAACAGAACTGCAGACTCACTCTTTTTGTTACAGTAAATCGACAGAGTTGTTTAAATAGATACCAAGTCCATGGCCATGAAACCCCAAATGTAGTCACTGGATTGAAAAGTTATGAGAGAAAACATGGTTTATAATACATGAACATTTCCTTTTTGGACTATTTTGATAAAGTTCAGTCAAATTTTGTCATATTTAGCAAATATTTCTTTATTATATTATATAGCTTCGTTGTTACTCTTTCATGGCTCTTTTTTCATGTTTCTCATGAAATTCCTATGGAGAAATAAAAATACATTTCATGTAATATAATAACTCATTCTTATATAAATCTAACATATTATTTATATTACATTACATCTTTATTTATTTATTTATTTATTTATGCAGACTTGCCAATCTTGTAAAATTTTTGAGGTCTCTTTTAAAACTAACATTAAGAGGGGACACGTTAAATTAATAAAGTCCTCAGGAGAAAGATCTGAAAAGCAGGATACTTAAAAGTTTCCACTTCCTTTCTATATAATCTCATTGCTGTCTAGAAGAAGCAAATGAAACATTAAAGATCTGATTTGTGATTATCCTTTGGGTGCAGCTTGTAAACGTTCTACATTTTAAAACTACCATTTTTGTTATTTGCAATTCAGGACTTCCTATAGATCTGCATATGTGTGGCAATATGTGTTTGCTCTGATGACTTCAAGAGATCACATCAGTATGCTGGATCTGATTCCAGAGCACACTATTTACCCTATAAACTATGTTGCAATGTGGTTAAGAGTTCCAGTGTATGTGTGTGTCAGAAGGAGGCGGTCCCTCGTGAGAGGGGTAGTGTGTATACAGTGACACACTCACACACTGAAGGATAGTCAGCGCTCACAGCTCAAAATTAGTCAGTAACGTTATTGCGTCTGTCAAAAGCCGAACCTTGAGACTCAAGACAGTCAGGGTGACAAAGACTCACAGCAAGCAGGACTTAGAAAACTTAACTCACTTAAAATGGGAGCTTGCTGCTTTGAGAGGAAAGAACAGAGAAAGATCGAAAAAGTTAACTGCTGGAAAAAGGTGAGCCTCAGTTTTATACTTTTATAAGTTGTTAGTGGGTTGTTCATTTTTGTTGGATGTTACTTGGTGGACTTTTCAAGGACAAAACCGTTGCCTAAAGTAACTTTTTGAACTTTTTATTTCTGAATTCTCATGATAAGTGTGCTTTATAGATGAAAAGTGAATTCCTGCAAAGGTTTTTTTTTTTTTGTGCAGTACTTTATTGTTTTGAAAAGTTGCAAATGAGACAATGTGTGGTCATGTAAGCAGTGGTCTTTAAGTTATCATTTTAAAAGAATGAGTTGTATAGTCACACATCTATAATATAAGCCAGTCAGAGCCATGTAATATCGAACTGATGGTCTGAAGTCAAACTACTGTTAGTTTATAAAGTTACTGCATAATTTGTTTGTTGTAGACTGAGAGCACCAGTATCAGCTTGCATGAAAAATTGTTGTTAAACTATTTGTGTAAATGTTCAGGGTTTTTTTTGCTGTCTTTTCCTGATAATCAGAAACATAACAAACAATCTTCGTCAATTTTAAACAACCTAAGTTTCTTTCTAAGTTTTAAGGTTTTAGAGTCACTCTTTGCTCTGTGGATATAATTGAGACTAAAGCAGCTTAAAGTATTTTAGCCTATAATTTAATAACTAAATATTTTACTGTGTCCATTTGTGGATTTTGTACACACACACACACATTCGTGCACATATTGAGAAATTTAGAGGAAGTGAAACGTTGAGCTTGTATCCTCAGGCATGGTTGGTTTGTCACACAAAGAGCTGCTGATTTCTTCAGAAATGTCATTATTGATGTTACCGTTGGAATATACCAGAGAACTCGTTTGTCATCTCAATGTGCGTCAGGGATCATCATATATCAATGGTTGTTAAGAATTTGCTGATTTTGCAATTATGTGCTTCTCAAGTGACATCATTCAGTGCAATAAAAACTCCCACAATTTCTGACCAAGAAACAGATGGGGGTTTTTCCCACTAGATGATGTACACAAGACATTTACTGTAGATAGATGTAATTAAAAAACATCAGTGTAGTGTGACATTTACATACAAGTTTGAATACAGAGAGAGATTTGGAAATAAGAATATAGATCTTGATTGACAATGGACAGCTGTGAAAAAGTGAAATGTATTTTGATGATTGATTGACTCGCCTGTCCTGCATCAAACACATTGATACATTAGACAAGGTCATGATGACAGTACCAATTGATTTAACATGCCGCCGGCGAACAGTGTGAGGTGACCGCACAAATCTATCTCACTTAATACTGTGGTTATATACTGCCTACTAGTGGAGAAAATAAAATAGCATCTAATTGCTAATTATCCCACTTTAAAGAAATGCAAAAATAAAAACGTGCAACTAGGTACATAGAAATTATGATCTGCATATTTGCTGTCAATGGGTAGTTGACATTAAATACATTTGGGAAGTTGGCATGTCCTTTGGTGTCACAAGCCATGCTCCATGTAAAACTATTTTAAAAAGCAATTTGCTTATTATTTTTTAATTCTAATATAGCTTTTATGAGGTAATGTTAACTGAGATACTGAAGGAAATGTGGAGTGAATTTTGTATAAAAACAGTTATGACCTTGTAGGATCATTTAAATGAACTACTGATGTTGAAAAGTTGAAAAAAGGGAAATGTTTACAGGACAGAAAAAAATACATTCATATAAATTTTAACTTTAAATCTTGTTGTTCATTATGTGTCAACTATAATTTCCTAAATAAAATAGTTTTTGCCTCTAAATGCCTTACACAGGGAACCCATGTTAGCTGATAGAATCGGTTAGCTTTAATCAAGTGTTTGAAGGGTCTTTCTCTACAGAATGAAGGTCTTTGAGAATGAAATTCCCTTCATTCATCCTTTACTCTTCTCAGAGCAGAAGTCGGTGCACATCCGCCCCACTACAGCCATGTTTCTCACGGGGCTTAGAGAGAGACACTCACATGGATTTATTGATATGGATGATAAGAAGAAATGTGAGCCGTGGAAAGCAGCCCGTCTTTGATATGTCAGAGTTGTTTACACAACAACTCGTCTAGCTCTGACTAGACGTCTCACGCATCGCTGAGGAACCCCCACTGCAGCATAATGCAGAGATTCTCCGCTATTTTCCATCTTTCTCTTTCCCCCCTCTTTCCTTTCTCCCTCCCACTCCCTTTTTCTCATGAAGGTGCACAAACACAGACACGCACATACATTTCACAGTTTGGAGAATCCAAAATCGTTGCATGAATTCTTTTAGCTTCTCAAATCTGAGACCAACTTCTCTGTGTTAAGGGGCGAAAACAGGCTCAGTTGCAAGTAAATAACAAATATACTGTATAAAAATTTTTTTTTTTTAAAAACTAGAGCATGTTTAACAAGAAAACACTATTTTAGTCTTTTTACTTCAAGATTTAATCTTAATTTCAATATTACTTGCTGTTTCTTTGTAATTATTAATGAAATTTACTAGCAATTTCTGAGTGTAAATTGTTTCAATGTAAATCCTTTGTGTAATTGTGCATCTAGTGTTTTGGTTTTTTTTGGTTGAGAAATGCACCATTTTATCCATCATAGGTGAGTGTGATGAGGGCAGCATGGTCATATTCACTAAGGGTTTTCCCTGTCATTGGACTATATCAAGGACAGCTCATCGATTTCTGATGAATTGGGTTGATTTGGCAGATGTTATTGAGACGCAGTGGTGTCCTCGTGATTCCTGGGCAGCCATCTTTGGAGGCTGGGGAGGGAGGGAAGCCTCAGCGGCAGCCCATGTCACATGACACTGTTGCCATGGCGTTGGGATGTTGGTGTAATTGGTGTTCGGATGTAGACAGAGAGGCAGAGAGAAAGAGAGAGAGAGTCATGGGGGGGTGTTGATGTCACTGAAAAAAGACAAAGATAGGCAATTATCCAAGTCTTCTCTCCCACCATACTCTATGGTAAAAATAGCACAGAGCTCCATGTGAAACCTCATGCATTATGGGAATGCAATAAATTAGGCTGACCGAGCCTAAAAGAACCCAGACTCATGTAAATCTCCCATCTTTGCTCTTACGTTGCCTTTGCAGCTACAAAAGGGCTTAAAGTGGTTCTCGATTAGGAATCCCTTAAAGTCGATTAATCGTTCCCAAAAAGCCAAGGGCGTCCTTAGACCTCCCTGTCTTTCTGTCCTTCTTTACGTGTCTTTTTTTTTCTCGTGCTTTCCCCGCATAACAAAGCAGGGGCTCCCCCTCTCCTCTGCCATCTCTGTGTCAAATCATATGTGCCTGTGGAGCGTGTTGCTGGGGCTGACAGACTCGAGACCGGGGGAGAGACGCGTGAGGGAGGGGGCGAGGCAGAAGGAGAGAGAGAAAGACAGAGCGAGATGATGAGAGAGCGTGAGCGTACTGCAGCAGCGGAGCGGCACTAATCCAGCAGAGGAAGACCCCCCTCCAGCCAGATGAGCATCCCAGCAATTTTTTTCCTCATCCCTCCCTCCCTCTGCTCCACTGCTTCTTCATCTCCTCCATAATTCATTCCAGACTTCCAGACCCTCCGCTTCGCTTCCAGCTCCGGCCACCGCTCTCTGGATCATCCTCCAGCCCAGGACAGGTGTTCCCATCCGCTGTTGGTCCCCGCTCGCATCTGAAGACAGTTATATAGGTTGTTTTTTGTGATTTATCCCCTTGTACTAATGAAGCTTAAAACTGAGATGTGGCGCAGGATATGGCTGCCGTTTTTTGACTTATTTAATTATATATGCATTTGTTTATTTATTTCTTGCCAACATTGCATCTTTTGGAACCACATCATTGCTTTTGGAACTAATAGTCATACATTATATGTGGAGAAAAAAAAATGCTAAAGAAAAATATTACTTGGCAACAGTTTGAAAATTGCAATTTACAAATGAAATCTCAACCAGTGTCTACCTTGTCTCTTGTACTGAATTTCTCTCTCATTCTTTATTAATTTGAATTTTTTACGCATGGTATGAGGTATAAGAGATTTATTTAGAAACAAGAGAAATGAATGCATTAAAATGTATGCATAAATATTTTTAAAAGGAGATATTACGATTTAAATATTAATATATTTAATAATATTTTTATAATATTTTTATTTATTATATTATTTATTTGGTAATATAATTTTTAACATTCTGTACCCCATAACACATTGCAGCATTGTATGAAAATGCATGTCTATATAAAGGAATTTTAAATATGCCATTTTGCAAGACTTTGGAATATGGCTGCCCTCAATGTTGAACCTTTTTAATGTTTTTGACTAATGATTCTCCCTCTTTATCTTTTCCAGTTCAAGAGAATGCTGAACAGGGAGCTGACGCACCTCTCTGAGATGAGCAGATCTGGCAATCAGGTGTCGGAGTTCATCTCCAACACCTTCCTAGGTAATCACACACATATTTACTGTTACACTAAAACACCCGCAGTCATCGCTAGACATTGGCTATATACAGTATGCGCCATTGTGGATTGAATTTGGGCTGCGTCATTTCCAGAACTGAACTGCGGTTTAGACTGATGCTGTATATCTAAAAGCTATGAAAACGAGGAAAAATAAATCCATTATTTGTGAAAGTGTTGAACATTAAAAGATAAGACATGCAGTACAAAGGCTCATTTTGTTTGTGGAATGCCGTGAGATGGCATCAGACTTTCGATTCTGCATGAGGAGAGAGATCCCCAATGCAGCATTTGGAAAAGAGGAAGGGTAGGGTGGAAAGGAGAGCAGAATTATGGGAGGGAGGGAGGGAGGGAGAGACGGAGGGGGATGGGATCCTGCTGTATAGCAATGCTGACAGTGGAACCCCCCAGCACGGAACATCCAGGCCAGAGAACCTGTGACTCATCCAGCTCCTGTGCTCTCATCGAGATGCCATTGCATGCCCCGTCTAAACACACAAACACTCATGTACCTTGCCGCAGTCTGAGATCCCATTTCACTACAAAAAATTATTTCTTAATCATTATTTTTGACTTGCTTACTAATAAAATTTGTAAACATTTTTAAGACAAGAAATGACATTTAAATTTACTTTCAGCTAAATTTTGTTAAATATTATAAAGAGTAATACATTAGAAGTTCTTCTGATTGGATTATATTGTTTATCCATCCAAATCCATTATGTTGAAAAAATAATGTTTAGATATTTTTACTGATAAAAAGGCAAAAATATAGATTTAAGAAAATATAGAGATTTAAAATTTGATGATGAAATCTGCAAAAATATTGTTGTCCATTCTGATGGTGTGGCCGGATTATTTGGGACTAAAAGTGGTTTGATTTTCCTGGGATTAAATGTTAGCTGTGAAACATCTGTGCGCTGCGTCACGTGTGACTGCTTTCTTTATGCCTCTGTGATTTCGCTGTCTGCATCAAAACGCATGAGTTTAGCAGTGATGAGATTAAATCGGACCCGGACATAATGTCTCTTTCCTTTTTTTTTTTCTTGCTTTTTCTGAAATCTTGGATCTGTGCACACGGCCTGTACATGTGGCTTGCCTTTGGTTGTTTGATTTTTTATATGAGAAGGAGACATGGAGTGACATGTGACAGAGAATCCTGAAAGGAACGAGGCGAAAGGAAAAAAGAGCTCTGATGGATGTTTATGAGAAAACAAGCAAATTGACTATAAGGAGCACTCTGTGGGATCAGATAGGAGGCATTTTCTCTTGATCAGGCATCTTTACCGCAAGAGAAGGAGAGAAAAATAGATAGAGGCTTTTGAGATGAAAGAGAAACAAGTACTCCCTCATCCCCGTCCCTTTCCGTTCCGTCATCATAATAGAACGCCTCGTATTTCTTCACTCAGGATATAAGCCCATCTGAATGACTGCGGTGCTGATTACGGCACGGGTTCATGTTTAACAGAGACATATGAGTGAAGAGGATAATGACTGTAATGAATTAACCAACCCTCATATTTCACCTCCTCTCTTTCTCCATCAAGCCAGCGGCTATTACCAGGTGTTATCGCAGTCTTTCAGCCACATGCCAGAGCTTTACGGCAAGAGAGAACAACGTTATCTGCAGTAATTGAGAAACTGGAAATAAAAATTCAGTCCACTCGCAGCCTGTGGCTCCTTGAGAAGGATTTGGATTAGTATTTCCACATGAGGAATCCCTAACATGAAGGTTTATGGCATTATCAACTGCATTTTTGCCCAAAGATACGCCCTTCCTGTGCCGCCATTGTTTGTCAGTTGATATCTCCTGAGGGTTGACCTTTGGAGATGCCATATGAGGCAGACACGGGCTCCCCTGCAGTTTGTTGACAGGTCTGTCACAGTGAAAATGGAGAGTGGAATTGGAGGAGAAGGAAAGGAGGGGCAAGCCCCGTTTAAATAGCTCAGTGGCAAAGTCGCTGTGAATTGGGTGTCTGTTCTGCCGTTCAAGGGCAACAAATCCTGAGAAGCACACACACTGAGTGCAGATGTGAGCTATTCAGCTGTGGCACTGCACCTGGGCCAAAGGCGTCTGCTTACGTCACTAAGGCAAACACGATACATGGCCACCGGTTCCCCAACAATGGGCTTTTGTGCAGGCATGTATGTGTCTCGTCTGTGTGGAAACTACAATGAAAAGATTGAGTAATCTGGAATGTGATCTGCCAACAACTGACACAGTTGTGCATGATCGGTATTGAAAGATTTGAGGACTATCACAGTTTCATGGTGACGAGTTAACAAACGGTCGTTTTCCACATTGTCTGTGGAAAGTTGAGTGCAAGGTTAGTTGCCACCAGGAAAGAGACCAAAATCATTCTAATCATTTGGTTCTTGCTGTTCCTCACAGACAAACAGAATGAGGTGGAGATTCCCTCGCCTACTCCTAAAGCCCGCGAGAAGAAGAAAAAACAGCAGCTGATGACTCAGATCAGTGGTGTGAAGAAAGTATCCCATGGGCCCAGCCTCAACTGCGGCATCGCTCGCTTCGGCGTCAAAACCGACAAAGAGGATTTACTGTCAAAGGTGAGTAGAAGATTGAATACTTGCTCTTTAGTGTGTTCGACTGAAAATTTCCGTTGATCTCATTCCACTTGTGTCTTCTCTTTCCAGGAATTAGAAGACCTGAACAAATGGGGCCTGAACATCTTTACAGTTTCAGAGTATTCTAACAACCGGCCTCTCACTTGCATTATGTACGCCATCTTCCAGGTCAGTTCTTCCTCCAGCCTTTCGTTTGTCTATGACTTCCAACATTTTGCAACAAAAATGTCACATAGTCCAAGATTGTAGTAATATTGCTTCTCTCTGTAACAGGAACGTGGCTCGCTTCGGCGTCAAAACCGACAAAGAGGATTTACTGTCAAAGGTGAGTAGAAGATTGAATACTTGCTCTTTAGTGTGTTCGACTGAAAATTTCCGTTGATCTCATTCCACTTGTGTCTTCTCTTTCCAGGAATTAGAAGACCTGAACAAATGGGGCCTGAACATCTTTACAGTTTCAGAGTATTCTCACAACCGGCCTCTCACTTGCATTATGTACGCCATCTTCCAGGTCAGTTCTTCCTCCAGCCTTTCGTTTGTCTATGACTTCCAACATTTTGCAACAAAAATGTCACATAGTCCAAGATTGTAGTAATATTGCTTCTCTCTGTAACAGGAACGTGACTTACTTAAGACATTTAAGATCCCGGCAGATACTTTTGTGACATATCTGGCCGATCTGAAGACCATGGTAGAGACGAAGAAAGTGACAAGCTCAGGAGTTTTACTTCTGGACAACTACACAGACAGGATACAGGTACAGGTCTTCCTGTTCTCCTTCCCTGTCAATGAATGATTCATGTAAATTAGAGGAACAAAATGATTTGCAATCATCTAAAATTGTGGTGTTACTTCAGGTTTTGCGGAACATGGTTCACTGCGCCGATCTGAGCAATCCCACCAAGTCTCTAGAGTTGTACCGCCAGTGGACTGACCGCATCATGGACGAATTCTTTCACCAGGGTGACAGAGAAAGGGACCGTGGCATGGAGATCAGCCCCATGTGTGACAAACACACTGCCTCGGTGGAGAAATCACAGGTTAGTTACTGTCTGAGATGTATGGTCTCTCCAGGAGTACCATATTTGAAGTACCTTACGACGTCTAACACATTTTTCTCTCTTCAGGTGGGTTTCATTGACTACATCGTCCACCCACTGTGGGAAACCTGGGCCGACTTGGTGCATCCAGATGCCCAGGATATCCTGGACACGCTGGAGGATAATTCTGTAACAGGAACGTGACTTACTTAAGACATTTAAGATCCCGGCAGATACTTTTGTGACATATATGATGACCCTTGAGGATCATTACCACCAAGATGTGGCCTATCATAACAGCCTTCACGCTGCTGATGTGGCCCAGTCAACTCACATTCTACTGTCCACACCTGCACTAGATGTAAGAACGTTTTTCTTCAGGTGCAATTGTCAGAGTTTTCCCTCAAAGGATTTCATATATCTCACCATTTTCAATTTGTCCTAACAGGCTGTCTTCACGGATCTTGAGATCCTGGCAGCCATTTTTGCAGCAGCTATTCATGATGTGGACCATCCTGGAGTTTCAAACCAGTTCCTCATCAATACAAGTGAGTGTTCTCAATTCCCACCCTACTATCAGCATAAAGTTGGAGACACTTAAGTTAATCCTGTATTTATTCATTTCTTACAGACTCCGAGTTAGCGCTCATGTATAACGACGAGTCCGTTTTGGAGAATCACCACTTAGCCGTGGGCTTTAAACTTCTCCAGGAGGACAATTGTGACATCTTCCAGAACCTCACTAAGAAACAGAGGCAGTCACTCCGAAAGATGGTCATCGACATGGTGAGGTTCTTCCCTTCTTTCTTTCCTTCCTTCCTTCCTTCCTTCTTTCCTTCCAGGCCATCTGCTTTAATTTACATTGCAGTGGTTTATATGCTAACACATATTGTTCAATGTTTCCTGTTAACAGGTACTGGCCACAGACATGTCTAAGCACATGAGCTTACTGGCCGATCTG